ATTTCATTACACCAAATACACAAAATAATGTTCTTTTTAGCAGCATCATATGACCCCTTTAAGACTACTGCCAGCACATCCTGTTCCTCCATCTCTTGTCATTTTGGTTAGTAAGTAACAGGCAATGAAACAACATTATAACACAAGATGCCACTTCAGCGCTAAGTAGCATTTTCTTTCGAGTCAAAATCAAATGTATGCTCGTTTATACTTGATAAACTACATGAGAACTAATCTTTTCAGTAAATGATTAGAACAACCCCTTCAGGTCCTTAGGATAGCAAAAGCAAGCTGGCGTTCTCTATTGTCTCTATATAATGAACAGGTTAAATCATGTATTTCAGCAAGACATAAAAGTCAAGGTGAGCCACAGTAGGTCCAATTTAGATTGTATTGGTCAATTTTGATGAAGAATTAAACCCACAATTCCTTATTAACAGGCAGTGCAGATCTGACTAGAGGTGTCAGCTGCTAATATAGAGACTTCCTGTAGTACTGCTGATTCAACGTGACATCCTTTGAGCTGATCCCTTCATGCTCCCCAAAAACATCCAAAAAGACCAAAGGCTGCAACATTCATCCTTTTGTACTTTTTACAATGCTCATATGACCATATAATGTTATGTAACAAGGGTGCCCCAGAAAAGCACATTTTGAAGTTCTCCCTGCCTAGTTCAGGTCTTGGGAGGCTCTTCTAATAAGACGATGTCTGGGCACTGATTGGATACTGCATGACCACCAGAACTGAGAATATAATGTGTTACAGCACGTGTCATACTTTAGGCCAGGGGTTTTCAAATTTATATTCAGGGAATATAACATTAAATAAATATTACAAATATAATTTAAATAAATAAAAACTACATTCAAGTAAATAAATGCAAACAAACAAATAAACAAATAAGCAAATAAATAAACACAGTACTATAACAGTACAATACTAAAATGAGTAGAAAGCAACATATTAATGTAACTTAATAGAAAATATATATTTTCAAAAGAATACTTTAGACATTTTTACTATATATATTTTTTCCACTGTATAAATTGGGTCTTTATCCAAGAAACTACAAAGATGCCTTCTATATTTTAGGATGGGGTCCCTTGCATTAAGGATGGTCATATTTAGGGGTCTGTGGCATCTTAAAAGCAAAGCTTCATAGATGATTTTCTCTGCCTTTTGCCTGCAGGTTCACCTGAGTAAAGTTACATCTGGATTTTGGAAGAAATACTCCTGTACATACAGTAATGAAGTGAGTGAGGACTGAAAACTCCTTCAACTTCATTCACGTTACATGTTACATTTAGTAACCAACATTAAAATGCATTGGATGGATTTAACAGCAGACTAAATAAAACCTAACAACTCGGAATCTTGTTAACGAACCCATTTAAACGCTTAATTCTGTATGTTTTTACATCCATCGAGAGTTCAGAATGTCGAGTCTGACATAAAAACACGAGATCTGCCAACTTTACACGTGCACGCCTGTTGATTCAGACTTACCTTTGGCGTTATAATGTGCTCCATACTTTCAGTGGCTTATCATTCAACTGTCCACGTTAAACTTTCGATGTTTATGTGTTTAGCGGTTATCATGTTTGTTTCAGGAACTGCTGCGTTCCACCCTAACATGATGAGTGGATGGACTTACAATCATGTCAGGTGACAGGAGCAGATATCGCGATAAGTCGAAGCGCGACGTGATTTCAGGTGCCTACTTGTTGTACGGGTCTTCAGCAGCTCTTTCCTGAAGGATGCTGTAATAATTTAACCCACTGCAGTATATCAACAATAACATATCAATTTAAAATAAATCATGCAAATTACCTTAGTAACACAATGTTAAAGGTAAAAATCAGTATAAAAATATACTTAATTTCCTGTATATTTAAAATACAACTAGCCTATACATAAAATTGGTAAATACAAGGCACACATTAAAGTTGGAATTTTGGTCATTAATTAAAGTTCAAAAATGAAAGTTGTTCATTTTGGCATGATTCTAGACCAGAGGTTTTCAAACGGGGGACCAGAGGGCTGCAAGTGGGTGCTAGGGGGTTTGTGGAAAACTCTAGAGAAAAACAGAGTAAAAATTTAAAATGATTAAAATATTTTAAAAAATGCTTTTTAATACATCTAATAGTACAGTAGGCTACTATAGTGAGCAGAAAAAAACACAATGTAACACAATAAAAACTAAATATTTTTCCAATTATATTTTATACATATTTATAATATTATATTTTCAGAGTATTCCTACTACTTGTTTCACTTCTGTTTCAGTTTATTTATAACCATTTCTTACTATGTGTCAGTAAGTTGTTGTTAGTTTAGCATGTGTGTTTGGCTCAGTGTTATAGTCGTCACATGTCCTTCCGGACGCTCCTTCGTCAAAATCGCCGGCCGCGCCGTTCTCAAGCCCGCCGCCTCAGCTCACGCTAGCCCGGCCTCAGCTCTCTCTCGCCCGGCCTCAGCTCACTCTGCTAAGCCGGGGCTTCCGCTCACGCTAGCCCGGCCTCACCTCACTCTAGCCCAGCCTCAGCTCACTCTATCCCAGCCTCAGCGCACGCTAAGCCGGGGCTTCCCCATGTAGTTGTTTTTTGGTGTTTGGCTTAGTGTTATGTTAGAATCATTATTATACTCATACCTTTTATTCTTTTAATATTTTGAAGTGTTTTTAGCTTTATTTGTGTTTTCATTTAAATGTTTAGTTTTGCTTTGGATAAAAGCGTCTGCTAAATGACTAAAAGTAAAAGTAAAAGTAAAGTATTAATTGGGTCTTTATACATTATATATATCTGCCTTTTAAATTTTAGGATAGGGTTCCATCACATGAGGATGATCATATTTGGGGGTCTGTGGCATCTAAATGATTGAAAACCTCTGATCTAGACAAGCCCAAACATATCTGGAAACTTCATTAAGCCTTACCCAGACTACATGCAGCACAGGGAGGTTGCTCCTGCAGGGTGGCCCAATCAGATTTGCCTAATTGCTGGGGAGGACCCCCATCGCTTGACCCATTGTCACCATAACGACCTCCGGACCCTTAGGCTCAGTTACTTGATAACAGCACACTAATGAAAAACATTAACATACAGCTCACCCAGTTTAAGTCAAATTCCCTCTCAAATACCTGCCAATGTCCTGTAAACACAAAAGCACAAAATACACATGCTGTAGAATCTGAGACAACAGATTGAAGAGCAAAGGTGAGTTTTTTTCAAATCAAGGCAGATTTTACTACAAAAATACAGTTGTTACTGCATCTGAATATGCATACTTCCCTACTATTTAGCTAGTAGGCAAAAACAGTAGGCCTATGTGAAAAGAGAAGTATGTCCAAATTCGCATAATTCATAAAAGAGTAGACCAGGATGACCTAATTTCTGACAAGATTATTAAGTGCGTATCTGATGGACACTTTACTATACCATGAGGCCACAGAAGAGGATTTGCGAATGACAGTGAGGTAACATAACTGATGCTGTAGGTCACATGATAATGACAACATAACAGATGTAGGTCCGGTTTATGTACACATTTTCACACTGTATCCACCGTATTTGCAATGTGGAAGTAATCTGTTTTCTGTGAATGTGCGAGACTTCTGTTTCATTAGCCGCTAAAACTATCTGTGCAACAAACCAGTGTGTTTATGATTACAATAATCCATTGAAATGATATGACAACAAATACCAGTTTGCAGTATATCAAACAGCATAATGGACTGTTTTGCATGTTTTTCGCACATTCACACAGTTACAAATAGCTGCACCTGCTCTTACGTTAAAAATAAAAAAAATTATAGGCTGTGAAGTAAGTACTTGTTCAAAATAAGTACCTTAGAGAGTATGCTATTTTGGATGCAGCCCAGGAGTTTGTTATAGTTCTGAAGCACAGGCCTTCAGGTGCTGGAGAAGCTAATGTGTTTTTAGGAATCTCAACTCAGAGTAGAGAATCAGATCAACAAAACAGACATGAATCAGACCCTTCCGGATAATGATCAAATCTGCAGATGGATCTGAATGCTATCTAACACTTAACTCAGCTCCATTTGAGCTGTATCATTTCATGTATCTCATTCCCAATGTGAGCACTGCCAGGTTCAGGCATGTCAACATTGAGATAGAAAGGACAGATATGTTTGTCTGATTTTGACTAGCACGTAGCCTACAAAAGTACCTGTACTAGTATCATAAATGTTATGAAAAGTATAGCATAAATACATTTAGAAACTATAAAATAAAGGATATATTAGTTACTTAGAATCTTATTCTCAAAAAGGTACATTTATTTGATAAAAAATGTAATTTTATTCCTGTGATGGCAAAGCTGAATTTTCAGCAGCCATTACTTGAATTCCTACAAAAATACAAAGCTGTTTTTCAGAAATGTTTATTCAGTACCAAATTTTAATTTTAGGTGTTAAGGAAGGATATTTAATACAACCTGAAACTAGTTCCAATTTTGTGTCTATTCCACTCTCAGTCTCTCTTTCGGTCCTCTCACTTTCTCTAATTCCAGCTGTCTCTTTTTCTCACACTTCCACTATTTCTTATTGTCTCTCTCTAGTCTCCATTTCCAGTTTATGTAATCCTACTAAATGCTTTCACATTACCAGTTATTTTGTTTTTCAGAAATACATTTACCATCTGGAGCTCACACACAAGTACATGCATGCACACACACACACACACACACACACACACACACACACACACGT